TGTTTCCACTTTTTGGCTGTTATGAATAATGCTGTGAATATTCATGCACACATTTTTGTTTGGACATGTTTTCCGTTTTCTTCGGTGTATACCTAGGAGTGGAATTTGTTGGGTCATATGGTAATTCTATGTTTACATTTTCGAAGAGCTGCCAATCATTGTGCATTCCCACCAGCAGTGTATTGAGGGTCCAAAGTTCTCCACATCCTCAATAACACTTATTTGCATTTTTTATTGTAACGCTACTTCTGGGTGTGAAATGGTATCTCATTGTGGTTTTGATTTGCATTTCCTTGTTAAGCATCTTGTCATGTGCTTATTGGCCATTAATAATATCTTTCAAGAAATGTCTACTCAAATCATTTGCCATTTTTTAATTGGGCATTTGTCTTTTTATTGTTGAGTTGTAAGGTTTACTGTGGACACTAGACCCTTATCAGACATATGATTTATAAATATATACTCCCATTGTGTGGACTGTTTTTTTCACTTGATAGTGTCCTTTGAAGCATGAGAGTTTTTAAGTTTGATCGAGTCCAATATATCTATTTTTCTTTTGTTGCTTGTGCTTTTATTGTCAAATCTGAGAAATCATTGCCTAATCCAAGGTCATGAAGATTTACACATATGCATTCTTCTAAGAATTTTTGGTTTTAGCTCCTATATTTAGGTCTTTGATCCATTTTAAGTTAATTATTGTATATGGTATGAAGTGGAAGTCCAGCTTCATTATTTTGCATGTAAATATCCACTTGTCCCCGTACCATTTGTTGAAAAGACTGTTCTTTCCACCACTGAACTGTCTTGGTACTGTCATCAAAGATAAATTGACTATATTTGGGGGCTCAGTTCTGCTCCATTGATCTATATGTCTGTCCTTAGGCCAGCAACACCCAGTTTGATTATTGTACTTTATAGTATCAAAATCAGCAAGTGCTAACCCTCCAATTCAGTTCTTCGTTTTCAAGATTTTTTGGCTATTCTGGATTCCTTACATTTCCCTATGAATTTTAGGGTCAGCTTGTCCATTTCTACAAAAATGCTCTTGCTCTTCTTACCAAGATTTAGCTGATATTCTTTTTTTTCTTTCTGCTTTTTCTCCCCAGATCCCCCAATACATAGTTGTATATTTTAGTTGTGGGTCCTTCTAGTTGTGGTATGTGGGATGCTACCTCAATATAGCCTAATGAGCAGTGCCATGTCTGTGCCCAGGATCTGAACTGCTGAAATGCTGGGCTGCCGAAGTGGAGTGTGCAAACTTAACCACTCGTCCACAGGGCCAGCCCTTAGCTGATATTCTTGAATAGACACATCCTGGAAAGCTTTTGATTATTTCTAGAGTTCTTTTGAATATATTTTGAAGAAGTATAGGAATATACTTCTTATGTAGTGTCAATAAATATATCCTTTCCTCCACTTTCTAGTAACATTTACCTCATATTCCTCTGAGTCCTCACCCTGCAGCCTTATCAAAGACCATGAGGCTTCTATTACAGCTTCTTCAAGACTTTAGGGCTTATGTTAACACTCCCCAAAGCCCTCTGCCTGATTCTAAAGCCACACCTACATTTTAGGTTTTTATTGCAGCAGCATCCCACTAACATGTACCAAAATCTGTGTTACCTATCTGTTACTCTTTAACAAAATCTCCCCAAAATTTAGCAGTTTAAACAACAGGCATTTATTATCTCACATTTTCTCTGAGCCAGGAATCTAAGAGTGGTTCAGCTGGATGTTTCTTGCTCAGTTTGTCACTAGGCTGCAGTCAAGGGGTCAGCTAGGGTTGCAGTCATCAGAGACTTGATTGATCTGGAAGGTCTTAGTTCACTCATTTGGCTGTTTTCAGGAGGCTTCAGTTCCTTTCCTTGTTAGCCTCCCCTTAGAGATGCTCACAGTATGGCTTCCTCCAGCGTGAACCATGAGAGAGAGAGATAGAAGGACCTAGTAGTGGCAAGGGGACAGGGGAGGGAGAGCACTATGTTCAAGATTATCTGGGATAGAAACTGCATTCTTTTATCACCTAATCTCAGAAGTGACATACACTTCTGCACTATGCTATTGGTCATACATAACACCCCTGATACAACATGGAAGGGACTACACAGTAGTATGAAACCAGGAGATGGGAATAATTGAGGACCATCTTGAAACTGGCTACCACAGAGATGCTTGTTGAACTTTTGAACTAGTTAAATTTGAAAAATGATGAGATAGGGCAGAAATAAATTATTTGTTTTCTTAGGCGCAATAGATACCATTTCATGTGGCATCATTCTCTCTTCGAACCAAATATTTATTACTTGCCAGACCTTTGAAAGCCTTTGAGTTTATCATCCCTGGCCTAGATCTTTAGTTCGCTCATTTGATTTTTTGTAGTTATGACAACTTGTGGAAGTAATCTAGAAGGCTCACTAATCTGCAGCTGAGCAGAATTTTCTTTGTCCTTTTCTCTGTCTTTTTTATTTTATTTTATTTTTTTCCAAGTCCTTGGGTCTCACACATAGACTTATCCCCCAGTATAAAGGGACAAAAACTGAGTAAACTGCTTTAAACTTAGCTGTAAACTCAAGCCTAAAGTATAGCCCTAGTCACATGATATGAATACGATTATGTTTCTCTTCTTTTTTGGTAAATTTAATTATTTTGAGTTGATAAGGCGACATTAGTCATTAAATTGCAGGACAGTTAACCAAAATACTCAGAAGTAAATCTAGTATCTCCTTTTAACACATAATGTAAAGCAAGATTAGGTTTGAATAAAGGTGGAAGAGAATGTTCACAAAAGCCTTCAAAGATTCCTGGAGGTAACAATTAAGAAATGATATAAATTGGGAATTTTTATGTGCAATGTGGAAATTTCTTGTTTTGATAAATCACTTGAGTTAGGTTACATGTGCTAATACTGTCTATTCTGAACCAAAAAGTGTCACATGGACTTAGAAATTATGTCCTTTGTATTTCCCAGTTAGTTAAAATTTTTATATTAAACTATTAGTCCTTTTTATTATTTGGCATTTTATGATTTAAATAAAATATAACTGCTCAGTCTGCATCTTTTTGTTTCTCTTGTTATTTCCACTGTAACCTAAGACAACAGCTAACATTTAAACTATTAAAATGCCAAGTACAAGAGTTTAATATTTTATCTACAATCTCATATAACCTTAAAATATCCTGTGAGCAAACCCTATTATGATTTCCAATGTTTTGTTATTATTTCCATTTTTATGATCAGAGAAACTAAAACATGGAGGGGATCTGTAACTAGTTCATAAAGATAGCTGAGATTCCAGCCTGTAACTAAGACTTTTACTCTAGTATCCCAAAACAAATAGTACCTCTCTTCCCTACTGGCTTCTAAACAAAGAATACATATGAAGGCTGCAATACTACTTTTTTTTTTTATAGGCCCGTAGTCCGTTCTCACAGATGTTTTTTCAGAATTCAAAATTCTTTGTTTTGAAAGAAATAATATAATGGAGATGTTTATTATGTAACGTCTCCAGCAGATCTGAAACAACACCCTATGGTCGAATGTATTGATATTTCGGCAAGACCATAAATAGATTAATGTCAGCTTAGGTCATATCCTGCTACCAAGTGTGGTGGCGATCATGATGGAGGTAGTTTGTTGCCTTTCCTCACCTTAAAATAGTATGTTTTCAAACCTTGTATTTTAGAGTCCTGGGCCTGTAATGATAGATGCTAGCTGGAGGACTTGCCTTCAGGTCTCTTAGACAAGTGCTCCAACTAATACTGAACCCCAAAACTAAGGAGACTTAACCCTACAGTCTCAGACAGCCCTGGATCAGAGCAGACCTGTTCACGTGATGCTGATCTGCCTGGGTAAGAGTTGAGGCATTTAAGTAACTAGCATCTCTAGAAGTAGGCCCACTTCTAAGAGGAAGAAGTATGGAATGTAATCAAGTATGCTTAGTCATCCTTCCCAGTTTACCAACCTTTCTACCTCTGAAGGAGCAGAGTAAGTAAAAGGATTGGAGTGGGGCTAGCAGTGTGTGTGTGAAACAGCCATCACCACCACCCTCCATACCAAACTCTTTATGTAATAATGTGTTTATAAGTGGTCTGTCCTTATTCCACACCTCCTACTATAAAATCATTCAGTTGTTTTTACCTCTTGTACAAGTTTCAGGCAGAATTCTGCATCACTGCTGACCTTCATTATAGTTGTAGCTGATGAACATATTTTGGGGTCAAGGCTTGATAGAGACTTTCAATAATGGTATTGCCGTTTTTATAAGAGAATCTTAGTGGATGCATGCTGAAATATTCAGGAGTGAAATGTCACAGTTCTACAATTTACTTTCAGTGGTTTTGCAAACAAAAAAATTAAAAAGCAAATGTGGCAGAATATTAACATTTCTTGAATCTTGGTAGAGACTGTCTGTGTCATTGTACTGCTCTTTATTTTTTTTCTTTATGATTGAAATTTCTCAACATAAAAAGTTGAGGAAAGAAAAAGTCCTTGATGACATTCAGGCTATATATGAAATGCACATTTGACAGAACTGAAGAATTTAATGATAATAAACAGTTTTAAAAGTTTAGATGTTTTGTTAAATACTTAATGCAGGTACTTACTATGTATATTGTTAAAAAATGCTTGGTTACTTGTATAAACAATTTGTGTTCACATACTAAGTGTTTTAATATATCTAGTAGAATACATTTGAATTAAAACTCTGAAAATAAGCTGTTCTGCTTCTATGTCTAATTCTTTATCTGTATTTTAGTTTGGGATTGAAAATATTTATTTTTAAGAAATGGTTAAATATGCCAAGTTTGGGGTTGATATATTATCATGATACTAATTAAATCAACAAGGTTTCTATTGCTAAGTCCCACAAACCACTGGCAATTACAGATTGATGCTAAAAGACTTCTGAAATCATTAACTTATAATAAAAATAAGATAAATTTAAATATTGATATTTTGCATTTCCCTTTTTTAATGCTTGTTATATTTATTTCTTCCGTAGATCTTCCTCAGAACTGTGATCCTAACATTCCCCTAGTTGCTCAGGAATTAATGAAAAAGATGATACGTCAGTTTGCAATTGAGTATATTTCAAAAAGTGGTAAAATTCAAGAGAATAGAAATGGTTCAATTGGACCAAGTCTAATATGTAAAAGTATTCAAATGAATCAAGCAGAAAACTCCCTTCAGGAAGAACAGGAAGGCCCCTTAGACCTCACTGTGAATCGAATGCAAGAACAAAATACTCAGCAAGGTAAGATTTTTGTGTGTGTGTGTGTAATATTTAATTTTACGCTTTAATACTCTTAAATATATATAACCTAATATTCATAGAGAAATTTACTTTAGACGTAATATTACTTGTAATTAGCTTATGTAATATGGACTAGAGAGAAGTGCTAATTAATAGCTTTTGTATTTGACTTTGAGAGTAATTCAGCCTCTTTGATAAACAATCTCTTTTCACAATAAATAGATAGTGAGAGAATCACAACAAGCATCTTAAAGGCAAAGTGTACAAGAGATATTTATTATAAAAAATTATTTTTAAAATGTACAGCTGAGAACATTCGTTATGTACTTTCTCTTCAGTTTTTTGCTCTTAGATGAAAAATAAAAACAAATAGATGATTTATCTTCAATTGATGTAACTGGGGAAAGAGAAAAGTTAATATGTGTGATAAATATCATGTAATCATATAATTAACTATATAGAGATATATTTTTTGTAAGAAGTCTTCATGATGAAGGCTTTGTTAGACTTATCTAATGTTTAATTGAAGGAAGAGTCATGATTCACAGAGGAAAGGAAGGAAGGGCCTTTTAATCGCTTTTGGAGGATGCCAAATAAGTGTTTGCTTGGAGGAGAGAGAACAAGCAGCTTTTGTTAACACAAGTTAGGAATAGTGTTGTCAGTCCTTGAAGCCAGAAAAATATCAGCATTAAGTTTGGTTGCACAAGGCAGTATAGTGTTTGAGGCTCTAAAGAAGAGTACACTAGTCAGTGTTTAAAGAAGACAATCTTTTCAGTGCGTAAGACAGATTAAAATTGAAAGGAACTGAAATATGGAAATAATTTTCTGTTTTTGCGTCCCTAATTTTAAGTTGTATGAGTTTATTTATATAGAATATCTGAGAAATATTAAGATAATAGGTTATAAGACAGAGGAAGAAATGTCAAAGATGACTACGATATAAGGCTTAAGGAAAAAATATGTCAATACATAGAATTTTGGAAGGTAGAAAACATGGGATTTTTAGAATTTTTTTTATTTTGCTTTTCCATGTTTCACACCCTCTTATATCTCTTCTCCTTTGGGGGAGGCAATTCAGTGTTCTAAAGAGACTAGAATGTAGGCTTTGGTATCTCACAGATGTATGGTTGAAATTCCAGCTCTGCTACTTAAGTTACTTGAACAAGTAATTTTACCTATCGGAACTTTAATTCCCTCATTTGTTATTTGACCATAATAATAACAAACTCATTGGAGCAATGTGTAAGTTAAATATAAGTAGCCAATTCATAAAAGATACTCAAATACTAGTTTCTCTGTACTGTCTACCTCCTGTTGCTTACCACCACAGAAGAGAAGCCTTAGAAGTAGCGTGATGGTGATCTGTGAATATTTGTATGGCTGTTACACTAAAGTAGGACTGAACTTTCCCTGAATGAGCCAATGAATAGAATTAGTTTCATTAGCTAGAAGTTAGATGGAAACAGATTTTAGGTCCATATAAGAAAGAATATTTCTAAGGATTGAACATTTCTTTTAAAGTGGAAAGGGGAAAAGGATTCCCTGTTTGCTTTATCATCAGAGGTATTCAGAAGCATCAGATGAGCGGTTAGAATAGGTGGCATTTTAGAAGTAAATTTTTAGTCCTTACATTCTGTGATTCTATGAAATTAAGTGGTAAGGCAGATCCAAATATATGTAGAAAACAAGAAATGTAAATTATTTAAATTATTATGATATTCTAGGCAAAGTATACAAATATATTTCTGAACATGCTGAGGTTGAAAAGAGTAATGATTGTGGATATAAATTTGTACTTCAAATAGTCATCTTGATGATTTTAATTTGGGGAATGACTGCTTATCATATGTGATTTCAGTGTTCTTACCCTAGAATAGGAATCCTTTAGTCAGGTGGCTTGTAGGGTAGAGAGCAAGGTAATAGATAAGGCTGAAGAAATAGGTAGGGACCAGATTATAAGAAAGCTATGTAGGAAATCTTAAGGATTTTGACTTTTCTTAGGGCCACAGAAAGCTGCTAGATTGCTTTAAGCAGAGTAATAAAATCAGACTTTCTCTTACAAAACTGTTCTGCTGTGGTATAGATTGGTAGGCTCTAACTTTGCCTACTTGCATACTAAATTTAAAAAAATGGAGCACATATCTTTTGATGCATTTGTGTGTGCGTGTGTGTGTGTGTGCACACTAATATCATATATGTACTAATTTTTTCACAGTTCAAAATTTTTAAGGTTGAAATAAAGATAACAGTTTTAAAATGACTTGTTAATCATGATAACTTTACCGCCAGTATCTTATTACACAGTATAGACTTTGGGAGAGTTTTATGAATAATGATAGAAGGTATAAATCTGTATTTCAAATGGTTTTCTTAAGAATTAGAAAAAATTTTGGCCTGATTTCCCTGTTTTTCTGTACAGTATAATCAATAAAGTGCTCATACTAGTAGTAGCAGTGTTAGTTCTGCCCTTTGTTTGTTAGTTTGTTATTAGCTAATGCTTACATTTTTCATGTTATTCTCAGGCTATAGTGTTTTTTTATGCTTTTTGGTGACGAACATCAGCCCTGAGCTGTCTGTTCCCAATCTTCCTCTTGTTTGTTTTTTTCTCCCTGAAACCCCAGTGCATAGTTGTATATCCTAGTTGTGGGTCTTTCTAGTTCTTCTGTGTGGGACACTACCAAAGTATAGCTTGATGAGCGGTGCGTAGGTCCATGCCCAGGATCTGAACCGGCAAATGCTGGGCTGCCGAAGCCGAGTATGTGAACTTAACCACTCAGCCACAGGGCTGGCCCCAATCTATAATTTCTTAACAGTACCATTTAAGCTGGTTGTTCATTTTGTGAATTACTTTATTCAAATTAGATAATGTAATCATAAATCCAGTAGATAATCTAACCATGAATAATGTAGATAATTCATGGATAGTTTAACCTATAAATCTGTAAAATTCTCAATACCAAATGAGTTTACAGGTAACTTTATATAACCTTAAAGCAACAGATGATTCCTATCTTTTGCAGACTATTTTAAAGAATGGAAAAGAGGGGAAAACTGATATAATCTTGATACCAAAACCAGACAAAGATAGCAAAAGAAGGGAAAGTTGCAAACCAGTCTTACTTAGAAACACAGGTGCAAAAATCCAAAATAAGTATTAGCATATTTAATATAGTGAAATATAAAAACATAATAAATAATGACTAGGGAAGCACAGACAATTCTGCATTTGAGAAATCTTTTTTCACATTATGCAAAAAAAGGAAAGCAATATCATCCTGATAGATACAGAAAAAAATTCTACAAAAACTGACCCTTTTATGATAAAAAATGCTTATCAAACCAAGAATAGATGAGCATTACTGCTATCAGAAACATAATAATCTAATAATTTAAAGTAATGGACAAGACAAAAATGAACACTATCACCAATTTTCAGCATTTTTGTGAGAGGTCCTGACTCATGTAACATGATGAGAAAAAATAGAAGTATGAAAATAAGCAATAGCAATAAGGAAAGAATGAGCAAAATTGTGGTGCTTACAAACAGTATATATGAAGGAATATCTAAGCAAACTTTTAGAATTGATTAAAAAATTCAGAAAAGGTACTACTCACAAGATCAGTATGTATTACTTCATATCAGCAACCACCCAATTAGAAAGTCCAGTTTTTTAAAAAAATCTCATCTACAATAGCAACAAAAGCAGAAAAAAACATTAAAACACCTAAGAATGGAACTGATAAACTGTTTAAGACCTTATGGAGAACATTATAAAACTTTACTGAAGGACGTGGAAGAAGACTCTCAGAGCGAGTGATGGTATTTAAATGATCGGAAAGACTCTAAAAGTCAGCAGTTCATCCTTACTGCACTAGCAAGTTCACGGTCATTCTACTCAAAATTCTGATAGGGTTTATTGTGGGAAGGGACTTGCCAACCCTAAAATTTATGAGCAATACTTAATGGACCAAGAATAACAAAGTCAAGGTGGTGAGGACTTGCTCTAAAACATATCAAGACTAATTTGGTGCAATAATTAAAACACAATGCTGTTTGCCATAACGAATTATTAGTTTAGAAAGATTAGTGAGCCCAGAAACTCTCCAAATGTTAGTGGAATCTTGGTACAAGTCAAGATTTCATTATAAATCACTGGGAAGAATGGCCTATTCAATAAATAGGGGCAATTGGTTACCCACATGGAGGGAAAAAAGTAGATGGACTCCTACCTCACACCACTTGCGAAAATAATTCCAGTTGGGTTAAAGGGCTAAATGTAAAAAAGCAAAACTGAAAGTTAGAGAAGATATAGGATTATACCTTAATGAACTGAAAATAAGGAAAAATTTCTTAATATGCAAGAATAACAATCCGTATAACAATTTTATAAATTTGGCTATACTGAAATGCAAAACTAAAGTATTATAAAAGTCACTGAACAGAGGGAAAATTAAAGCCTCAAATTTGGAGACAGTGTTTACAACTGATGTAAATAACAACCTTTCAACTACCAAAACAAAACTACAGCCAATGAGAAAAACACAACTCTTTAGAAAACTAGGCAAAAACAGTTGTCAGAAGATAACAGAATAGCCAAATAAGCAAAGAAAAGAGTGCTCCAAGGAATATCCTGTTATGCCTCCATCATAATATAGGGTTCTTTTATTCTAAAGTATAACAAATGGTAATTCAACCTCTGATTGACAATAAGTACTTGCAAAGAAATCTTTATTTGACAGCTCTGATAATTAAGCTCATATCTCTAAAACATCCACCCTTTGTTTTATATTTTTTCCGTCTGCAACAATATTTCACTAAATAGTACTGTAAATATTTGTCAAAATAATTATATCTCCAAGACTTCTCTTTTCCATGCTAACTTCTAGAAATTTTTTTTCCATCTGAACAATGAGACAGTCTAGTCCTTTTACTTGGTACTATAAATATTTGTTGAAGCTATGATGTTTCTCTAAACCTCTGTTTTCCATGCAAATCTTTT